TCTTATATTCCTCATAAGGGATACTTCTTATCTACAAGAAATCAAACAAGAGTTTGGTATGATATGCCAAGAAGCAAAGGAGATCAGGATAAATCTCAAAGCTATATATATCCAGCAAATTCAAGCCTAATCAATCAATCAATCAATCACTTATTAAATGCCTGTAATGCATCAGGCACTGTGCTAGCTGAGGATGCAAATAAAAAGGTATGAAAAAAAATCCCTACTTACAAAGGGGCTTACATTCTAATGGGGGAGACAACAAAGATATATTCAAGTACGTGTGGAATAAATATAAAAAAGATATATACAGGGGCAGCTAGGTGGCGCAGTGGATAGAGCACCAGCCCTGAAGTCAGGAGGACCTGAGTTCAAATCCGGCCTCAGACCAAACACTTGACACGTACTAGCTGTGTGACTCTGGGCAAGTCACTTAACCCCAATTGCCTAAAAATTTTTTTAAAAAATTTTTTAAAAAGTATATATACCAATACAAGCTCAGTAGTTCAATACAAGGAGGTTTAAAGAGAAAAATACTAGTAGTTGAGGTGATCAGAAAAGGCTTCATGCAGGTCATCTTTGAACCACATCTTAAAGAAATTCTATGAGGAGGAGGCGAGGAGAGAGCATAGGCAAGACTTGAGGGAAAGCCAAAGAGATGGGAATTTGCAAGAAAGCCAGTTTGGTGGTCTATGGAGTGAAGAAAGGAAAATAATATATAATAATATACAATAGAAAGATAATGTGAAATTTGATTATAAAGTACTTTAAAAGCCAATGAGGGGAGTTCCTAATTTATCCTAGAGGCAATAAGGAACCACTGGAGTTTCTTGAGCAGGGAAATCACATGGTCATATTTGTGCTTTAACAATATCACTTCGGCAACTATTTGGAGGAGGGATTGGAGCAGGAAGAAACCTTAAACAAAGACATCATCAAAGAACAAAAGGTCAAAAGAGAAGAAAGAGTTGAATTAATATTCCATGAACTAAAAACTCATGTTTCCTGACAATCAAATCAAATCTCCTATTGAGGGTGGGGGAGGCAGGGGAAATAACACAAAGAAGTTATTCAAGTAGGGAGACAGAAATCAAGAGGGAAGCTGGAGATATACTCCCACTTGGCCTGAGTGTGAGCAAGAAAGAGGGATAGTAATATTACTTCAGTTTCTATAAATATAGGAAACTGTGGGTCAAAAGACTAGAGTGAAAGCAGTGGAGGAAATGGATAATGGAATATGGATATGGGAAGAGGTTTGTCTACACTAGAAGAGGAGATGGATGATTGGTTGCCACTGAAGCCTATTTCCACAAGTGTAATGAGGAAAAAGAGGAAGAATTGACAGAGGCTTTGTAATAAGTTTTGTAGAAGGGGCATGGCAACTTTAGGAGACCACTAGCTGACAAATGCACTGTCTATGTTCTGGTATCCTCTAGCTTATGTCCATTAATATAAGAAAGCAAATCTTAAATCCTTGTAATAGAGCCCTCCCATTATAGGGTTACAGAGCAAGAAGACCTAGACCAGGGGTGGGGAACCTGTGGCCTCGAGGCCACATGTGGCCCTCTAGGTCCTCAAGTGAGACCCCCACATGTGGCCTCGAGGCCACAGTTTCCCCACCCCTGACCTAGACTCTGTCCTCAAGGACCTTCAAATTAGATTTTCTCTCAAGTTTAAACTTATGATTTTAAAGGTTAAATTGTAGTCCCCTTATTGTTGACTCACAAAATTGATTCACAAAAAAAGTACACTAAACAAATTATGGTGTATGGATGTAATGGAAAATTATAAAGCTATAAAAAAAGGGGGAAATTCACAGCAACCCAGAAGATCTATGTGAACCAATGAACACAGCAGAACCAGAAATACATTTATACATCAACTACAATTATATAAAGGAATATAACTTTGAGTATTCTAAACAATGGAGTAACCAGTCATGACTTCAAAATGCTGGTGATAAAGTATGCTACTGGTAGAGAGGGGAATAGAGTAGGTTGCGTCCCACAATTTAAGAAGCACTGAAGGGGTCAAGAATGGAAAAAGTTGAAGAAGCCTTGGTCTAAAAGGTACAGAATAAGGAATAAATTTTCAGACATGGCTAAAAGTAGAATGAGTTGCCTAGAAAGATGGTAAGTTCTCTTACCTTGAAGGTCTTCAAGCAGAAGCTAGATGACCATTTGTCAGGTATGTTTGCTAAGGAGTTCCCTTTGTACATGGGTTATATTAGATGGCTCCTGAGGTCCCTTCTAACTTAAATTCTTTGATTCTATGAATGTTTTGCTTGACTATACTTATTTGTAACAATGAAGGCTTCTACAGGAAGTTGGGTAGTAATAGTGACGCAAGGGTAAAAAAGGGCATCAATAAAATTATTTTTAAAATACACAGAAGAGAGAAGTTAGAAAGGAAAACAAAAGCCAGCAGTTTTGTTGTTTTGGGGGTAACTTAAACACACATTTAAAAAAAATAAATTGCACATAATAGAAACTCAGTTTCACACATAATCTTTTTTGTTCTTTGTAATATTAAAATGCTTATTGATATCATCATAAAAGCAAATTTTTAAAATTGATTCAAGATAAAAGTACTGAAAAGGTCTAATTATAGAAAATCACAGAATCTGATTTGAAAGATACTTCAGAGGCAAACAATTTCAAGAAATAATTGACACCTGGCTAATATCACCTACAACTAGTTGGCTACAAAAATAATAATTTATGAATTTTAATTAAATACAAAGCAAGGGTAGTCTAAGAGAAACAGCATATTAAGGTGGGAAGAACACTGAGTTTGCAGTTAGACCTGTGTATGAATCTTGAGTCTGCTACTTACTATACATGAGACCTGGAGCAAATCAGTTACTATTTTTAACAATATCTTAAATATTACTCATCAGCATTTCTATATCTTTTTAAGGTTTGCAAAGTACTTTTAAAATATCAAATTTTATCCTCATAACAATATTGGGAGGTGTTAGTATTATCCCTATTTTACAGAAAAGGAAGAGTGAGTCAGAGAGAAAGTGACTTGCCCCAAAGTCTGAATTTAAACTCAGATCTTCCTGACTCCAGGTTCAGTGCTCTGCCCACTCCATCCTGAATATTATAATCAACTAAAGAGAAACCAATAACTCCACGAAACAACAAGAAATATTTAAAGTCAAAAGGCTGAAAAAAAAAACAGAAGAAAATGTAAGGCATCCAATAGCAAAATACTACCGACCTGGAAAACAGATCATGGAGAAAAAAAATTTAAGAATCACTGGACTACTTGAAAGCTATGACAAAAAAAGAGAGAGAGAAAGAGAGCCTAAGAATCATGTCAAGAAATCTGAAAGGAAAACTGGCAAAGCAGAAAGAGAATTACTGGTCACCTGAAAGAAACTTCAATTGAAAATTCCCAGGAACATCATAGCCAAAATATAGCTCTTCTTGGGTCAAAAAAAAAAAAAAAAAGAAAATACTGCAAGCACACAGAAAGAGCCCAAGTGCTAAGAAGCCACAAGATCACAAGACTTAGCAGCCACGACTCTCTGCTTACATTCAGATATGGAGAGATGTCCCCTTTGAATCATCTGGGATCACAGAAAGAGTTTAATCAAAAAGAAGGACTGGGAGTGGTTCTGTTATATGTTGATGATCTTAAAAGAAGACTGAAAATGAGGGAAGAAAGGATATACTTGGCGGGGGGAAGTTAGGGAATTTTTTTTCACATAATAACAGTACACAATTAGACATCTATACAAACAAGGAGGAAGGAGTCAGGGGAGCAGGCAACACTTGAACTTCACTCTCATCTAAACTGGTCAAAATATACACACAGAGCTGGGTATAGAAAAATATTTCACTCAACAGAGAAATAGGAAGAAAAGGGAAGAAGGGAGAAGAGGAAATTAGAAGCAGGACAGATAGACTTCTGCTTTTTTATGAGGAGAGGGCCAAAACATTTTACAGGGATTTTTCCAGATAGAGGGGGCACCACATCCCTAATCCCAGCAATGTGGAAGGTATAACTACATAAGGGTTTTAAGCCAAGCCTGGAGCATATTGCATGCTGAGTATGGGTAACACCAGATTAGTATCAAAAGAATACAAAGCAAAATAAGAGAGTAAGGAGAGGAACTGGTGCCAGAGCTTCGGAGAGAAGAGATATTCTTGATTCTTTCTTCCGGGTGACTTATGGTACCAAACTATCTTTAGGACTAATTCCAGACATGTGTTATGAGAATGACGCTTTGGAAGCTGCAGAACAGCAAGGAAAGCAGACTTCTCAACATGTCCCCAGAGTTTTAGGGGAATTTTTCCTTGGTTGACGTTGGGTCTCTATTGACTGAACTAAGATCTTACCTCTCATCTAAAGAGATCACTTACTCTGTATATTTTTCTGGTATATTCTAATCTGTGTGATTTCTCTGTTTACTATTTGCTTAGATATAAACAGGTCTATTCACTATTTGTAATGGTCTCTTGTATAACCAAAATTTGTTAGGAAAAAGCCAAGCCAACCTCTCCTCTTTAAAGGATAGTAGCCAAGGAGGATTCTTTTTTAAATTTTGAACCTACTGTACTCCTATCAGCAATATTTAGGGGACAGATACAACTCTGATCTAGTACTCCTCTCTGAAACTGGGCAAAGGAAAACCCAGCCTCATGGCAATTCTGGAGGATGTCTGCCCCTCATCCTTATCTGTCATCCTGGTTCTCCTCTCTTCAGGAATAGTCCAGACGTCAAACGTTCAGATAATCTATATAGACATACATAGCTTACTGGCCTGGCCAGCACATGCATTAGAAGGAAAGTAGCTCAAGGATGGAAAGGTAGGCTGGAGCCAGAAGATGGAGAACCTTGGATGCTAAGATGATTAGGCTTTTATGCTTTGATTCTGTAGGCACTGGGAAGACAGTGTAGGTTTTTCAGATCTATGACTTTTTTGCACTGTTATTATACTTGGGCACAAGGAATTGGGACACCACAAAGTCCAATGGAGATTTTCATACCTGCTTCCCTGAACTCTGAGAAGTCTCACAAGCTTTGGTAAAGAGGCTGATAATAACTGGAGCTTTACTTCTGATGGCATTTCCCTCTTGAAAATAACATATTTGCTATAGAAACAAAACAAAAATATACCATCATTTAATTGAAAACAAATTAAGCCATACTGTTATAAACTAGGAGGTAGCATGAAGTAGTAGAGAGGAGGCCTGGGATCCAGGAAAACCTGTTCAAACCCAGGCCCTGACACATTTTGTCTGCATGACCTTAGGTAAGTCCCTTATCCCCTCAATGTTGTAGGCAATCGTCTAAAAGGTACAAGAGCCAGCCTGCAGTGGTAGTGACAGGGTATGGGCCCAAGCCAAGACCTTTGCCACTTAACCCAAAAGAATTTGGGTCTCATTTGTTTGAGGGGGGATTGACGGGGTATTGGCCTGATGGGGTGCTTGGGTGCTTGTACTGGGACCCCAGTTCCAAGACCATATTTCTCCCTAGCCTCAGAAACACTAACCTTGGCAATTTCCCCCCAGCCCAAGGGCATTGTGCTTAGCGATTACTCATGAGTGGGCCCCAACAACACACTCATCTCCCCCTGGTGCAGTTACAGAAAGCTGGGTGAGAGATGGGATCCTCAGGCCCCAGCCCTAAGATCATGTTTCTGGAAGCCTCCCAATTTCTTACTAGGCTCCTGTCCTGTGAGAAAATTTTCTCTTGTTGCAAAATGCATTCTCTTATCAGGACAGAGAGAGGAGGTGCCTGGTCCAAGGATTTTTGTCCCTGGCTGACCCAAGGACCCTTCCTCCGGACTGATCCCCAAGATCCATGCCTCTGACAACTCCCTCAATGTCTGGTATACTCCCTACGCCTTCCCATCCATAGCTCCCAAAGACACATGGACCTTTAGATTACCTAATTAGTATCCCTGGCATTCCTTTCCCATGCCCCTTTTCCATATAAACCCCAGTACCATCCTCAGTCTCTCACAGGTTCCTTAAGAATCCTTGCCCTCAAGAATTGGAAATTGAGAGGATGCCCATCAATTGGGGAATGGCTGAGCAAGTTGTGGTATATGAATGTAATGCAATACTATTGTGCTATAAGAAATGATGAACAGGCTGACTTCAGAAAAACCTGGAAAGACTTATATGGTCTGATGCTGACTGAGCGAAGTGAGCAGAACCAAGAGGACTTTGTACACAATAACAGCCATGTTATACGATGACTAATAATTGTTAAACTGAACCTTCTCAGCATTATGAGGATATAAGGCATCTCAGAGGCCTCGGGATGGAAAATGCTATCCACATCCAAAGAAAGAACTATGGAAGTCAAATCGCTACCACTTATTTTTACCTCCTGTTGAGTTTTGTTTCATCTTTCTGATGGTTCCTCGTATTGGTTTTAATTTTTACTTACAACTTCACTAATGTGAAAATATGTTTAATGGGTATATAAATGTAAAGCCTATATCAGATTGTGCGCCGTCTTGGGAAGGGTGGGGGGGAGGAAAAGGGAGAAAAATTTTTCAACTCAAAAGCATATGGAAAAAAAATTTAAAAATTATTAAAAAAAAAAAGAATCCTTGCCCTCTGTATAGTGTAACAATAAATCTTTGCCAACTTGACTCAAAGAATGCTTGAGTCTGTGAATTTATTCCAGATGACCCTGTCCTGTACTCCAGTCTTTGAGGGGCTCAACCTCTCAGACCGCAGGCAACAGGCCTAAGCCAAGACCTTTGCCCCTCATCCCAAAAAGAATTTGGGTCCTGCTTGTCTACCAACTCTTCTAGAACTCTTCCACTTGATCAAGGAAGTCTCTAGCATTTGCCTAAGGCTATAATCCTACCAACTGGCCTTTCCTTATCATTCACCCAATCTCCCTATTGTCTGCTACTTCCCACCCTTGATCCTATCTAGACCTCAAGGTCGACTTCCCAGTCACTCCCATCAAGATCCTCCCTAGACCTCTCCTGTGGTCACCCCAGCTTCCTGACCAGTCCCATCAAGATACCCCTTACCCCAGACCCCTCTTCCAGTCACCCCAAACTACTTGGCCACTCCTAGACCCCTCACACAATTTTCTGTATATAAAGTCCATCTGGCATCCATTAAGGTACTGAGATTCTTAAAATCCAGCCAATGCTCAGATTCTCAAAATCTGTCCCGCTTGCAAATTTCTGGCCAATATGACTAATCTCTAATAAACCTTGTCTTTGACTGAAAGAAGGCTTGGGTTGAATTCACTCTGGCAAGACTCAAGTGTCCTGATTTTGGAGTCCCAGCAAATCTAAACCTCTAAGCCTCAACAATAGAGGAAGGTCCTCTCCAGGATGAGGGAAATCACACTTTCAGTCCCTTTTGTTGTTCAGCAGCATCCTACTCTCCCTGATCCCATTTGGAGTTTCCTTGGCAGAGATACTGCAGTAGTTTGCCATTTCCTTCTCCAGATCATTTTACAGATGAGGAAACTGAGGCAAACAGGATTAAGTGACTTGCCCAGGGTCACACTGCTAGCGAGTGCCTGAGGCCAGATTGGAAATCAGGAAGAGGAGTCAGCCCGATTCCAAGCCCGAGCTCTGATCACTGCAGCTGCCTTATTCATCACAAACTAGAACACATTCATTGTACCCTGGAGACAGAGCCTAAGGCCGGATGATTTTCCCCGGCTCCTACATCCCGAGGCTTCGGGAAGGCGGTTACTACGTCCAACTTGGGGCTTCTGGCCAGACCCAGGCCGGCCACTGGCCGGGCTGCAGGCTCCCTCTACGGACCGACCTAGCACCGCACCTAAGCGAGAGAAGTGCCGCTTCCAAGCAACGCGAGTACCGGAGGACGAGAACCCGCCTCGCCCCGCCCCCCACCGCCTCCTCCGGGGGCGCGAGGCTGAAGAGGCGCTGGGCACGCGCAGGGCTGGCGGTTAAGGACCCACCTCTTAGAGGCGCGAGGATGCGATGAGGTGAGCGCAGGCGCGCTTCAATATTCATGTCAAAACTGTAACCTTCCCACATTGCGCATGCGCGAACGTGTGCGCGCGCTCACGAAGATTCCCTGTGTTTTAGGGGGGGGGAGGTTGTTTTCAGAGCCGCTTACCATCCTTAAAGCTCCAAATCTTTTTGAAAAATAAACACTTAGTTGGTTTCTGTGCCTCTAGTCTGTCTCCACTCTAATCCATCAACCAAAGTGATTTTCCTTCTTTTGCCAATAGTCTGGCAAAACAAATGTCTATATTCGCCGTGATAGATGTATAGATAGATGCATGTATGTATATATGCGTGTGCATATATATTCACGTGTATAGTGTATGTATCTATACATATGATGTAATGTAAGAACTCTCCATATATGTGTGTGTATGTGGCGGGGGAGAGAGGAGAAAGAGTGTGTATACAGAGGTCCGTACACAGCTTTCATCCATCTGACCAAGTCTTTTAATACTGTCAGTCGTGAGGGCTTGTGGAAGATCATGGCAAAATTTGGTTGCAGGAGAAGTTATCAGTATTGTATGCCAGCACCAGGACAGCAGGCTTGCACAGGTTCTAGATCGTGGAGGATGCTCTTACACTTTCGCAGTCACCAGTGGAGTGAAGCGGGGCTGTGTACTTGCTCCAAGGATTTCTAGCATGATGTTTTCAGCAATGTTGTCAGACGCCTTCAACAAAGATGAGAATGGCATCGAGGTGGTAAAATTGTGCACCAAATGCAGCCTCTGAGGCTGAGATACAACGTAGCTCGTTTCTCTGCTGCTTGTACTAGTTTGACAACACCAAGAAAAAAGGTTCTCCACTAGCAAGGCTCACACCATCCATATGTTGAACCACTGGTTACAGCAAATGGAGAAATATTGAATGCTGCAGATAGTTTCATTTACCTTGGCAGTATACTTTCCAGGGATATACACACAGATGATGAGGTGAACACAGGCTTTTCAGAAGCTAGCTCAGTATTTGGGGAGGGTCCTAAGGAAAATTTGAGAGAGAAGAGATATTAGACTGATCACCAAACCGAAGGCCTACAGAGCTGTTGTGCTGACCTCATTGTTGTATGCCTGTGAAACCTAGACAATGTACCAGCAACATGCCAGGAAACTGAATCACTTACATCTGAATTGTCTTAGGAAGATTCTAAACATCACCTGGCAAGATAAAGCACCAGACACTGAGGTCCTTTCTTGAGCTGAACTGCCAAGCATTCACACTCAACCGCAGATAGCATAATGGGCTCTGAAGGGCTGACCACGTTGCTCAAATGCCAGACGTATGTTTGCTTATGAGACTATTTTAGAGAGAATTCACACCAGGCAAGCGATCACATGGAGGTCAGAAGAAGCGATACAAGGACACTCTCAAGGTTTCTGAAGAACTTTGGAATTAATTGTGAGACATGAGACACTAGCACAGGACTGCCCAATGTAGAGTCCCCGATTCAAAGAAGGTGCTATGCTAAATGAAGCAGAACTGCAGTAGCTCAAACGAAACTTGATTTGCACAAATTTATACATCTCTATCCCAAATGTTCATACAGTCTGTTTGTATCCAACCTGTGGTAGAACCTTCCAGGCTCATATTGGTCTGATCAGCCACAGTCAGACACACTGTACTGTGATTCCAATATAGTGGTATCATTTTGGTCCTCTTAGATTACAAAGGACAACAACAAATACGTGTGTAACATATATTGTGTACATGCATGTATGCATGTATATATATACACTCATATGTATGCACATATATACTTTATGTACATGTATAATATTGTACATGTGTGTATATATGAATATGTGTATATATACTGATTTATATATACTTATTGCTATATACAATGTACATATATACTATAAATGTATAAATACATATATGTCTCATTCTCATATTTATATACATCTATAGTATATGTGTATACAAACACACATGTACAATATGTGTATGTACACATATATGTCTCATTCTTTCACTTCTCTATCAAGGAGTGGGTAGCATGTTTAATCATGCTCTGGAATCAAGATCTCCCCAGGTTCCTCTGAAACTCTCCCCTTCATCATTTCTGATGGCATTATAGTATTCCATCATATTTATATACCATAACTTGTTCAAACATTCCTGAATTCAGCTCTGAAACTAAGACCTTCCTTCTGGTTGGAGAGAGTAGAGGGCTTGACATTGGAAAGCTTCTTTCATGTCCTCCATTTTAGAAAGGTACCCAGAGCAATCACTTCATCATTTCCCATCTTGGCTGCAGGACTTTATGCCCCTGAACTCCCTTTCTCCATCCTTCCCACCTCTACTTTTCAGCTTCTTTTTGTATGATGTCTTCCCCCCATTAGATTGTAAACTCCTTGAGTGTTCAAATGCCAAACATATGTTTGCCTATAAGACTATTTTACAGAGAATTCATACCAGGCAAGCGATCACATGGAGGTCAGAAGAAGCGATACAAGGACACTCTCAAGGTTTCTGAAGAACTTTGGAATTAATTGTGAGACATGAGACACTAGCACAGGACTGCCCAATGTAGAGTCCAGATATAATTGTTCATAGGACAGCAAAGGGAAAGCCAAATGGAAATATAGATTAGCAGAATAGCTTTGAAAATTGCTGTATATGCTTAAAAGGAAAAGTAAGCTATATTTCAAAGAGATTCACAGGTTTTCATACAATCCTTTCCTGTTCTATTTTGTATAGGAAAATTATAATTTTGTTTGGTGTCTGTTAAGTTCAATTTTTTTTTAATTTAGTGAATTGAAGCAACCCAGATTACTGTGTTTTCAAGCTCTGTATGTTAAAAAAAAAAGTCCAGATATAATTGTTCATAGGACAGCAGCATCCCTAGTCGGCGCTAATAAACCTCTGTACCACCTATTTTTATAATGATGCACTGTTGCTATGCAGCACAGAAGAGAAAACATTCCTCTTATTGGACTTGCATACTTAGGTGGGGTAGGGAACTGAGCTGACAAAGTTGAGTAATTATTGAGTCATATGGAAGTTAAGGGAACAGTGTTTTCAGTCTCCCAAAGTGAATGGCCAACAGAAGTTCCCATTCCTATGTAAACCTTTTGACTATCTCTTTTTGCTAGCATCTAGCCTTTTTAATGACTCTTTGGTTCATCTGGTATTTAAGGCAAAATATGAGACTGATAATGATCCTTTTACTGCAAATTCTTTACTGTGAGAAAGACAGGTAGCTAGGACCCCAACGTTAAGTGGCTTTGACCACAAAGTAGTGAAGGCATAAATGCAGGGCTTTAGTAGCAAAATATAAAGAGTAACTGATCTTATGGGGGCAGCTAAGTGGTACAGTGTATTGAAAGTGTGCCTGGAGTCAGGAAGATCCGAGTTCAAATCCGGCATCAAACACTTACTAGCTGTGTGAACCTGGGCAAGTCACTTCACTGTATTTGCCTCAATTCCTCATCTGTAAAACAGGGACACTGGAGAAGGAAATGGCAAATCACTCCAGTCTCTTTGGCAAGAAAACCCCACAGGGTCATGAAGAGTCAGACAAGACTAAACAAAAATTCATCCTATTAGGCAGAAATAAATTCTTGCTCTTCTTTTGCCTTGGAGGAATCTATCACCTAGCAACTTTCTTGTCAATTTCCTCCTTTCCTCGGTCTTCAATCCTGCCCCTCAAAAGTATCAGATTTTATTTAAATCATAATTTAGTGAACTTTTGGAATCTCTCAGAAGTTAAGCCTTAAATAGCAGGGGACCGAAGGTCTGGGGGGACCCAAGTTTAGTTGTAAACTTGCTTCCACCCAAACCTGTTGTAGCCTTGAGTTTTAAAGTCCACATGATTATCATGATAGATGCCACTCCCTGTAAAACATTCATTGATTTCATAATTACTATATGAAAAGGTAGATTTTTTTTGTCCCCACTAGTCTAACTCCTGAATCTGTAATACAGTTCTGATTCACCCACTGAGCCCACAGATCCAACTGACTGAGTCTTTGCATTTATTTCTCCTTTGACTCATCCATTGACATCAGTTGATCTCACTGAATAAACAGCGTGATTTATCCTGACACACAAAGCACAATGCAAACTCTGCATATTTTTCTGGCCTGAGGCAGAAAGGTGGATTGTTTTTATGCTCCCCAAAAGCCAGCTGCTCCAAAATCCTTCACATTATAGCCTGGGCCTGAGGCTGTGTTTTTGCTGGCTGCACCAGGGAAAATAGCATTTTGTTCCAAACCAGTGTTCTGACATGCTTGTTATTGTGTGAGTTGGTATATAAAAACTTTAATTTGTTGGCCAAATTTTCAAAGCTTTTCAGAAAATGTACCTGGAAAAACCTGTATTTTCACAAAGATACATATGTATGGACCTACTTCTCTACACTACTAAAACTGTGCTACCTTTCAAAAGGCTGCATCCTTTCTTCCCACATCTGAATGCAGGATTGTCTAATTACCTTCACCTATGAGGAAAGAAAAGGACTATTTTTTAGGAACAAATTAACTGAGATTACATTATTTATAAAGCTGAGATTTTCAGAGATCTTGACAGGTAGAAGACCACCCTCCTTTATCCCTTTCCCACTTTTGTGACTTATCCCAGAAGTGGGAAGAATTAATGAGAAGCACCAGGCTATGGTGGCTAGATTATTGAACCTGAAATCAAGGAGACCTGGTTTCAAATCTTGCCTTAGATACCTGTTAGCTGTGTGACCCTGGGCAGATCACTTAACCTCTTAGCTAGAAAAATTAGAGAGTTGGAGTTGATGATTTCTAAGGTTTCTTTCTCTGATTCTATAACCCTATAAATGTTGAGATTTTAG